AGACTAAGAAAATCAGCAATGAAGTAGAGAGTATACCTAAACAAAGTGATAGAGCTAGAAGAGATTATTTAAGAGTCATGTTGAAGCTGTACAGTTTTTTGGAAAGAGAGTATTCATTTTTCATTTCTCTGTATTAACATCTTTAAATATTTAATATGAATAAATTTAATAGAAAGACTCCAGTCTTTAACAGAAACTTAAACCAATACTTTTATAGGCAGATCATGCCTGTTATCCTCTCTCCCACTGATGTTCATCTAGCAGAGAAGATCTGTAGGTTTTTAGAGTGATACTTTAAGGCTTCTATTTTATTCTTTTTCATAGTAAGTAAATTGGAACATAACATTTTTGTCAGGTTAACATTTGACAATGTAATAATACTTTTCTTCTGAAATATATGCAAACTGTAAAATATATGATGAATGCAAAATGAATATTCCAATATGTCATTGATCTGATACAGCCAGAAGACCTGATATGTAAGTAGCTAAGCGCTTTCTAAATTTGTAAGATTTGTGTAGTAAAATCCAGTTGGATTTAATCAAGATTTTGATTCTTCTCCTCTCCTAGGTGTAGCAAATACTTTTACTTTCATGATCAAATAAGTCAAACTAGAATCTATCTGTCTAAAGAATGGAATCTACTGCTTTTACAGAAGTAATTTGCCCAGTTTTCTTCCAAAGTAAAGGTTATTCTCTGCTGTTTCTCTACATTCTCCCAGTACTTCTCAATTTTGTATGGGAATGAAGAACAATCTAACAAAATGCAAACAATCTTATTGCAGTTCTCATTGCCTTTATTGTGGGTAAAGAAATACTGTGCTAAAATATCACAACGTCCTCCCCATTCCCCAGTCTTGTGCACCTTGTAAAGCCTTGCACTTCAGGATCATAGCCAAATACACTCCATATCTATCATACATATGGAGCATATCATTTGAATGTGCACGGTCATTCTTACAGTTTCATGATCTTAGGAAGAATAGATCATAGTTTATCCAGAAGCATTCTAGAGACCCTCAAACTTCAATAGTTAAATATTTTTATTATTACTGTCTGACAGAGAGAGCCAGTCTATCAGAGTTCAGTTTCTGAAGTCAAAGAATCATAACTATAAGACTGTAAGAGAAATCAAAAAATCGTGTAGTCCAGATCCCTCATGTTGTAAGATTAGGTTTAGTATGTTCAAAATGTGTGTGTTCTCAGTGATCTGCAATCAAAGACATCCTAAAATATCTGTTGATGACACCTTTGAGTGGTTCTACCACCTTTCTGTTGAAAGTTATTTGAAATCTAAATATTACTTCTGCAGAGACATTGTAATCAGAAGTTTAGAACATTATCAGTGAGAAATGAACCGACCACATGAAAACAATATTTTGAATGACAAGTACCTAAACAGAGACAATGGTCTGTGGGTCTTTAAATAAAATGTAATCTCATGATTTGAATTAGGAATGGTTTAGTGTAGTGCTCATTAAAACTATTTTGTTTGTGTTATAATAACCTATTAATTATTACATCTGATAAAGCACTTCAAAATAGTTCTGATGTCTGCTGATCATGGTGAATTTTCCTCTTCCTGTTTAAGTTAAACCGAGGACTTTGTGCAGTTCTGTAGGGTATGAAAGAGTTGATAAGGTTTTAGTTCATGACTATGTACATTTATCACAGATATTTATATGTTTATATAAATAATAATAAACGCAAAGAAAAGCGTCACCTATAATGAAAGGTGAAGAAGATTGTGATGGTCTTTTATTCACACAGTATTCAATTTCACAGTCTTAAGTTTAGCCATAAATAAAGTTGTATCATATATGAGTTTTACTCTTCCTGAAAGTTCATTGTGCCTGGGAAAAGGGACTGATGTCCAATATAGCCTTCCAGATCACAGAATCACAGGATAATAGGGTAATTTAGATTGGGAGGGACCTCATGAGGTCCCTAGTCCAACGTCCTTCTCAAAGAAGGGTCAGCTATGAGATCAGCTCATATCTATTCAGGTCCTGACAACCTCCAAGGATCGCGATTGCACAACCTTTCTGGACAAACTGTCCCATTACTTGATAGTCCTCATGGGGAGAATATGGCATGCTTTTTATTTATTTATTTATTTATTTATTTATTTATTTATTTATAACACGCCCATATCCAGCTATATCCTAAGAATGCCTGATGACAGAAATGATATGTTAGCTGATGTTACTTTGTTTTATGGCTGGAGAGTTTGCAGGTGCTTCACTATTTACTGCAGGAAAAAAAGGAGAGGTTGTAGGGGTTCTCTACGCAGGTACTTTCCGTTTTCCCAGCTTAGGCTTTGTTGTGTAAAGCTGCAGCCAGTGGGCTGGTTGTGATATTCTGGTAAGTTTTACTCACAAGTTGCAGGCTGATCATCCATGCTGAAAGTCACTGAAATCAAGGAATGAGATTTTTAACTTAGCTCAGTATTTTTTGGAAAAAAAAAAAGTCTAGAGAATACAAGATTGTCATGAAATGATCCAACCAGCTTGAGTTACATGAGGAGATGTGCTTAAAAATTTTATAGTGACTAATGATTCTGATAGAAGGAATTCTAGGCCTAGAGCTAGAGAAGAAATGGAGTGTTCTTATCAATTAGAATTAAAACATGCGTTGCTTCTACATTCAGCTTCATGAATCTTAGCATCTGTGGAGAATCTATGAGTATTCCAGTGCCAGGAACTCAACTGGCTTGGGTGTATGAAATAAACTTCAGTTAAAAAAGACTAAAAATGTGTTTTTCTGTTAACACATCATTGAGACACCTATCATATTTTAACTGATTCAATCAGCTGTTCTTCATCCATGAGTTGATTTCATCCAAGACTAGGCCAACTTGATGGAACATCTGTTCTTGTCATATTTCAATCTGAAATGTGTTATATTCATATTACTGATATTTGAGACTGTTTTACAGCACCAGTTTCTATTCTGCTTTAGAATAGCTGTTGCCTGCTCTTGTAGATTGCATGCTCATCAGTGTTTGGAGAACGCAAGGCACATCTTTCAGTTTGATTTAATCTAAAATGAAACCAGTTATGTGATTCAGGAACACTCAGTGAGAGGAACAAAAGTGTTGTAAGTGTGGAAGAATGGAGATTCATATTGAAAGTGCACTCTGGATTCAAAACCAAAATGCTATGCAGATGCATCCAAAATAGCTCTTGATACTTTTTTTTTTTTTTTAATAAGCAAGGTGCCTTACTGAATAACCTGCATTCAGACACTCCAGGAACTCTGCTGGATTAGATGTTCAGTAAAGAATTTAATAAAACATTGTGCCTAACTCAGGCAATATTAGAAAATATATAGGTGAGCATAATTCAAGGGCTATATTTAGTGCATAAGTAAGATTTTCTGACATCAAAATGACAAAAATTTTAAAATGTACTTGTTAACATTGAAGTAAACATAGCATTATGGAAGTCATATACTACAGTTCTAGCTTTTAATATTAATAGATTCAGCATATAAAAAACTTTCAAGTATTATGACATACCATTATTGATATGCATCATTATAATATGCCCTACAGCACCACCACACAGCTGTATCACAAAAGCTGTGTTTTTTGTTCTCTGTAACCTAAAAATTAATGCATTTACATAGATCTCAATTTTAAATTGGGGGCTGTAAAATAATTAAAAATGCCTCTGTTTATTGAATGCAAAAATTAGTTCCTATTTCTTATGATTTCAGAAAACTAGCAGGGGATGTAATATATCCAGCTGGTCTTTCACATTATTACTGCTCTGTACGGCTTAGATACAAAGTGAATTTAAATTATATATTTTTTAGCTCAAATAAAAAAAAATATTGCTTCCATGATGGTTTTTTTTTTTTTCCCGCTTGGTTCATTGCCCTTCTGTTCCAAAGAATGAATGAATCCTAAAAGAATTATTTCCCACAGAATTCTAACCTTTTATTGTAACCCAAATAGCTGGCTGGTTAAGCTTAGTAGCAGAGCATAATTATGTTGATTCTTTCAGATGGGATATTTAAACTTTGGAAACAAAGCACTGTTATGTGTATGTACAAATAATACATTGGTTACAGTTCTCATGAATTAGCATGTATCTTTGGATTAATTTAAACTCATCTATCATTTAAGTGTTTGTGACTTTACTTTAGATTAACCTTTCCCACACTCACATTACCATTAATGGGATGCATTATTCTTTCCTTTTTACTTAGTTAGGTTAATTATGCTCTCTTTATCTCTCTGTTTCTCTTAATAAACCCTTTATTATATATCTCATCTTTATATGTTATGTACAAGTTACATTTAACAGGAGAAGCTTCTTAATGAGAAACTCTTTAGTGATTAACTGGTAAGTTATTTTATAAATTTTGCTCTTCGTACCTTTTGAGATCAGCTGTGGAAGCAAATCAAATGACCAAGTTCAGAAGAAAACAGCTTTGACTGTGTGTAGAAATATTCTTTAAATATTTTACTTGCTATTAATAGTGCATCTTTTTGCACTTTCAGCATAGACTTCTGTCAGAAACAAAACTCTACCTGATAAACAAAACTCTGCCTAGTAAAATGAAGGAAATATGGACCCAACTTTAACTATAATTTCTTATCTTTGCTTAAACTATCACTTTATTTCTTTTTTTTTTTTAATTTTTAATGGAAGATCGGAATCAAGTGTGACAAGGTTAGTTATGTTAAACCGTTATGCCACTGAACAATAAAAAAAGAACAGAAAGCTAGAGAATGCAGTTATTCAGACCAATGTTACTTTGATTCTAGAGGGGACATTTAGTTTTTTTTCACTTTCATGGCAAAAAAACCAAAAACAAACACAAACAAACAAAAATTTACTCCATGGTTTTCTCTTTTGAAAGAAACAGAAAATTTTGTCAAGTTGTATGAAGCAATCAGAAAATTGTAGCAAAGCTGTGTCAATTTTAGACAAAAAAAAAGATATCTAGTGTCAATTTTGTATACATTATCCTGTTAATGTGTCTTATCAGGTGCTACAACCATTGAAAAGTATGATCTCAGAACAAATATATGGATCCAGGCTGGAGTGATGAATGGCAGGAGGCTTCAGTTTGGTGTTGCTGTCATTGACGAAAAACTATTTGTCATTGGAGGCCGGGATGGTTTAAAGACATTAAACACTGTTGAATGCTACAATCCAAAGACGAAGGCTTGGACTGTGTTACCACCAATGTCAACACATAGGCATGGTCTAGGTAAGGAAAAGAGCTACCAAGTTTTTCAGTTATATTACTTGTAATGCAAAACTCACTATTTTAAAGCTACCATAACATTCTAAGCAGTAACAATAACAGCTTAAATTGTTCTTACCAGTTTGCTAAGAACATAAAAAGAGAAGCTTACATTTACATGATGATGGAAAGAAGCTTTTTAGCATTTACCCAAATATCAGTACTGAAAAAAGAGAAAGGGAAGGAAAGGGAAAGGGAAGGGGAAAGGGAAGGGGAAGGAAAGGAAGAAAAGAAACCCTGAAACTTACACAGGTTGATCAGAAAATTCAGTTGTGTTTTCACAGATTTTGAAAAAGGGAATCTTTTTAATGTCTTATTAAACAGTAAAAATATTGTGTATTTTCAAAGTATTATGCCTTTTCATTTATCTAATATGATATGAAGTATGCTGATATACTATGTTAGTGATGAACTTTACAAAGTAAAGATAGCAGTAGTTTCAGCATAATTGATGAAGCATTTTTTCCTAGTCTGTTTCAGATAAGTTTTTTTAATAAGATGATCCACACCACTATCAGCATTAAACATGCTGTGTTGCATCCCTCTTCTCAAGAGTGCTTCCTTTCTCCTTATTTTATGAATAGTCATAAGCTAAAGATTACCTGATATTAGTGATCACATAGAAAGGTAAACCTGATATCTGAACTTGTTTCCATTTGTTTCCTTGATTTCTGCAATCCAAAAATGCAAAAAAACCCACCTATTTTTCTTTTTTAAGTGTTTGTTAAATCTAATCCTTTAAGCATCTACATCTAAGCTAGTCATCTCATCCCATTTATTGTCAATGGAGAGAAAAAGGCATTTCACAAGCATAATTCATGGCATCTATTTAAAATATTTTCCTTAGAAGGAAATGAGTCACATCTTAGAATACTATCAGGCTATACGTATGTAGAGCTACAACTTTGTTATATATGACCTTGCCTGTTTTAATTTCTCGTTAGTAATATGTGATATAATTTCATTACTTTCCAATAATATGTAAAAAGACAAGATTTAAATTAATATATTTTCACATCCCTGGATGACAATGGAATTATGCACATACTGCTAATGAGGAATTAAAATTAAACCAATACATGCACAAATTCTTTTTCTGCTTTCACGCAAATTCCATAACAAGGTAATGCCACAAATAACAATAAAAGGGAAAATAAGGACATCTGTTGTTATATATTAAAATTAATCTAAATGAAAATATATCCATCCCATAATACTTAATATGGCCCATTGTGAATAGTACATATTGACTACCCTGGATACCAGAGCTCCTATTTACCACAAAATAATAGTGAAATATGACTAGCAACAGTGGAAGCTGCCTCAGCCATGACTTAACTGTAGATTAACTTGGTAAGCTTTCTTTTCTACTGAATTATTTATTCTTTTTGTCCTGTCATGTCCAGGAAACATGCTAGCTATGTTGAAATCTTTGTTATTGTATGCATTTTCCTTCTGGGAAATGACTGGAAACACTAGAAAATGAGCCCATTATCAGGCAGTCAGTAATCTCACTCTCTTTTATTGAAGTCATCAGATATCCCAACTACAACTTACCGTTTTGTTTTTGTCACTTTTATTATTATTTTCATTATTATTATTCTTAAAACTTTTTTTATATTTTTTTGTTAAGGGTAGAAGGCAATTTGATTTACTCAGAGAAATAGGCACTAGCTTTGTTTCATTTTTGAAATTAAGCAAAAGACAGTTGTATATTTTCTTTGAAATAATATACATTTTTCTATCATATATATATCCATACATATATACGTATACCTATAACAGAAAAACAAACCTTTATTTATTCAATTATACAAGTCATTTAAAAATGTTTCAAAATATCCTTTCTTATTCATCACTTGTAGGGTAATGAGTTTTTCTGTCTTAAAAAAAGGAATTTAGTTCTGTATGACATTCCTACCAGAATATAACATGAGTAAGGTATGGGAAACTGAACTGTCCATTTTCTATTCTGCTAAGATTGCCTAGTTTGATGAAATCATTACAAAGTCATGAAAAATAGAAATGGAAAAGACCTGCTAGGTCATCCTGTCCATTCCCCTGAGCTATAATCTGTAGTAAGTCCCTTAATGTTCTTCTATATCAACATCCCTCAAAATCAAAGTGCATATTTTTTTCATGCCATTTGACACTAATAATAATATGCATTTGTACAGTAGCTGGCATAATGCAATTTTGCTATTAAACAAGATCTATAGGTCTTGCAATAAAAAGTAGTGGTGGGAATCTATGTCAAAAGGCCCTGTGATACTAAATAGCTCTGTGATTTGAAATTGTTTCCTAAGATCAAATGTGTTTATACTGATGCAGAAATTCACATAATGCCTACAGAAATACACGTAATGCCTTCCATGCCAGTGTTCCAGAATTTTACAGAAACTGTTATTACGTCTAATGCTCTTCCCAAAGGAGTGGTAAAAATGCAATAACTTGAGCCATTACACAAAAAAACATTAAGAAAGCATTAGGAAATGCATAATAGAGACAAACTTTCCCCAGCAGCAAGACAGGTTGGGGCTGTGATCCAAACCCTTTGTAGTTAATTCAAAAAAACATTTGTAATTTTAGATTTATACTTTTATGGATGCTTTTGAATCAATAGATCTAAAAGGTGCCCCTATACTTTAAGTAAAGGTCTCCAGGAATGTTGAGGTGATGACTGGAGAAAAACTGATATGTTTCCCACAGGAGAAAAAAAGGGAGCTCTTAAACATCTGGCCACTTGAGGTGAGAAAATTAAAAAAAAAAAAAAAACACTTTTGAATATTGCATAAATTGAGGTTTTTTTAAATCATATAAAGTGAAGAAAGATATAAAAATTGTGATTTTATTGACCCTTTTATAAGAGTAATAATGTTTTCTAATAACTAAAAGGTGATGATGAAAATGATTAAAGGCAGTAATTTGGAGCCGACAGAGATGTGCTCTTTTTCCTCATCTGAAATTGCATAAAAACTATAACACAGTATTTCCTGACATGCTTGAGTAATGGAATTTCATTGTTTTTTTTCAGTGTGAACTTTAGTATGATCTTCATCCAGGAATCCCATAAAAAAGATCATTTTAATACATGTCCTTTTTAATGAGAAAGGAATATAGCTCTGCAGTAAGAAATTCTTTTTTGTTTATTTCCTAAAATATATATTATGTTATATCCTTGTAGTAATGATGACAGAGCTATCTGAATTAGATTTTACATACAAGATTAGGAACAGACACCCATACTTTAGATTTCTGTCTTTTTGTTGATACCAGTAAAAATATTTTGATTTCATTTTACTTTGCTGTAACTAAGGTCACAATTAGGCAACATAATACCTTTATTTTCTCTTTGTATAACCTGAAGTGGAACTGTGTGTATAAAAGCTGATATATGTAGAAATGAGAAAAGGAAAATGGAAAGGTCACATAGGGAAAGTACATCCTGTAGGAACTCATATGTTGGAGGGTTTCAATGCCATCAGTAGACGATGAGTGGAAGCAATGGTAAGTGGCAGGATGTGGAATAAGTGATGCTGTAGACAATAAGTAAGCAAAAAAGAAAGGATAAACTATGGGACCCACAAATATTATCTCAGCTAATAGTGATTCTAATTTAACTGACAAGTAAAGTAGTATAGAATATGGGAGAGTAATATGAAGCCAGAAAGACAGAGAAAGGTGCAAATGAAATATAAGGAAGGTAGAGGAACCTACCTGAGAAACAGGAAACAGATAAGTCGTAAGTCATATATGGAAGGCAATAACAGGAACAAAGAGAGAGAGAGAGGGAAAAAAAGTATAATAGATTGTGAATGAAAAAGTTGAGAAAATAAAAGTCAAGGAAAAGTGGGTGTAGAACTGCTTCACGTAAGGGAGAGAGAGGTTTGTATGGAGGAGGAAGGAAGGAAACAGAATAAGTTTAGACAATGATAGAATAAGTTTAAACGTTAGATGCCAAATCCTGTTTTTTCCTGAAACATCATGGTTTTAAAAAAATGAAATGAAGGCATCAAACAAAAAAGTAATGCTCAGCTTATCTTTCCCAGGTGAACAACATAGGTGCCTCATTGAAGAAATTAGGCTTCCTACATATTCAAAGGAAAAGGGTAGTCTTCTCTGGCAGGTGTCCTACATTTTCTCAGCCTCTTCATTAAGTATTTTAAAGGTGCCTAAGCTCCTACATCAGGCTATATTTACAATATTTGTTAAGCCTAGGCTTGATCTCTGGGCTTTATTTTGGTGAGTTTAGTGATCTCACTATTTGTACTCAAATACAGCATTTGCAGGATGATCAGAGGGGGAAGAAGGATGATAGGGGGATGGCAGGAGCTAGCAAACCCCTGTACAGCTGCTCGTGTAGATAGGTTACAGGATCCTCTTTCCTCCTCCACTCCCAGAAAACAGAATTTTAATACTTGGAAGCAGACAAGCAACACTAAAAAAACACCTTCCCTTCATTGCTGGTAGGAAGGCATCTAAATATGTAATGCAAATGTATTCTTAAGTACCTGCCTATAATGTGACTGTCATGAAACTGGTGCATGTAAAATTAACATCTAAGAGAGTAAACACAAAAATTAGAGGTGGAGAGAAAATAGGGAAATTAGAGAGCTGTAAGATGAATTAACTTTGATGGTGATAATAAAAAAAAGATATTATGTGTTAGCATAAAAATGCTATAATATATTGAAAAAAGATGAAAAGTTAAAAAGGAAGACTAAATTTAATTTAAAATGGAAATGGCATAGACCTTATTAAGCATACTTGGTTCATAAGTATTTTACAAATATTTATTCAGCTAAGTATTGTTGTGAAATGGAAGTTTGTGGGAGGTGGTGGGAAAGACGTCATTCTGGTATATCAAAATCTAGATCATTTTTATTTGTTTCTGTTTAACAAGATTTGTTGTCTGTTCTGTTAAGTGGTATATGAGTGATTGAAAGGCTCACATGGATTCATTG